CAGGGTGGGGCTGCCCCCTCCTCCAGGCGGTGGTGGGAGCCGGCTGGGTGCGGCGTGGATGCGTCGTAGCCTTTCATTTAACTTGGGTTTTACAGCTTTCTCGCCGAGCCTGTTCTGTGACAGTCTTGCAAAAACAAACTCCTGCGAGACTGCCGGTGAAATGAGGTGACATAATGCCCAACTCGACAGCGTTTTGGAGAATTACCCTTGGGTGCTCTCGCTGCCGTGGTTGGGCTGTGCCAGGCTGTCCTGCCTTCTCCCATGTGAAGCACTGGAGGGGAAGAACCGATGCAGTGTGGTTTATCTGCACATCTGCATCTCCATCTAGCTGGGAACCTTGCCACATCTGGGTTTCGGCACCAGCTTCGCCTTGCGATGTCCCCGGTGCATCGGGTGCCCGCGGATGCCCATGCAAGCTGTCTCTCGGATCCCCGTTGTCTCAGTGCAGGTAGAAAGCTGCTGTTTTGGTGGCCTCCACCTCTGTGTTGGGTTTGGAGAAACCCAGAGCAGCTCCCCCAGGGAAGGATTGTGTGTAGGGTGTGATGCTGTAAACCTGGCTGCTGCAGGAGACCAGCCTAAAATGGGCCCTGCAGCTCATCCCCAGTGCTGGCTGGTGGGGCTCCAAGCCAAGAGGTTTCAGAGAGTCTGTCCCAAACCCGACACCGCTCCGAATCCCTCCGGTGGGAGCGCAGACCCTGTAGGTTACCATCCCTGCTTTGCCAAAAGCCCTCCTTGCAAATAATCCCCCCCAAAACCAAAACCTGAAACAAAACAAACCTCGTAAACTGAGGAGAATTGCATTGCTGGAGGAGCAAACTCAGTGAAGGTCTCTCATGGTGCTTTATTTTAACCACAGCTTTAAGAATAATGTTAAGCTTCTGCATTAAATGCAGGGGAAGAGTGTTTTGGAAAGCCAGGAGGGCTTTTCTCTTTCAAGCACTCTGGTTATTTTGGCAATCGACATGAGTTAAATTAAAATCGTTGAATGCAGTAATATGTAGGACGGTGAGATCTTAAAATGCTTCTTAATTTTAAGTATGTGTTTTGAGCAAACGTTTGTATGCCAAGGCTTGGGCTGGGGGATTGAAAGGCATATTGGATTATATGCTATTTGCTCTGTGTAAGCAGTGGCAATTTATTGCTGCAGATACATGTGATGCAACGCGCAAAGATTAGTTCTATCCTCTCTAAAGCATGATTATTTTGGGTCCTCTCTATACCTTAAATAGATATTCTTCTCATGTGATTTCCATCTTTTTGTGTCAACAGCCCAGGCTAAAGTTCAAATAACCATTGCATCAGCTTAATAGCACAGGCTCTGAAGAAATCTGCTCTCCATTATGGGCATTGTTTGGAAGCCTTTCCATTTTACATTTTTCCAGTGTGCAATGCAAAGATCTTGTGAATGCTGAAGCCTGCTCGGCTCCACTGGACGTGTCTTGTACAGCTCAGTGTGGTTGATGGACGCTGATGAGTGCTGTCCCGAGCAGAGCAGCAGCGTGTTCGTCATGTTCAGATGTAGAATCATAAAATCGTGGAATGGTTTGGGCTGGAAGGGACCTGGAGGATCATCTTGGTTCACCCCCCCTGCCCTGGGCAGGGACACCTCCCACCAGCCCAGGTTGCTCCAAGCCCCGTCCAACCTGGCCTTGAACACCTCCAGGGATGGGGCAGCCACAGCTTCTCGGGGCAACCTGCCCCAGGGGATCACCACCCTCAGAGCGCAAAATTTCTTCCTGATATCTCATCTAAGTCTCCCCTCTTCCAGTTTGAAGCCATTCCCCCTCGTCCCATCACTCCATGCCCATGTCACAAGTCCCTCCCCAGCTCTCCTGGAGCCCCTTTAGGCACTGGAAGGGGCTCTGAGGTCTCCCCATTTCCGCCTTCTCTTCTCCAGGCTGAACCCTCCAACTCTCCCAGCCTGTCCTCCCAGCAGAGGGGCTCCAGCCCTCCCAGCATCTCCGGGGCCTCCTCTGGCCCCGCTCCAACAGGTCCATGTCCTTCTGATGTTGGTGGCCGCAGAGCTGGAGGCAGTACTCCAGGTGGGGTCCCCCTTTTTAGTTCATGGTGAGGATCTGTGGCCTCTTTCAGGGACAACTTAGAAGCGAGCAGCTCTTAAAATTTGTGGCTGTGCAATTTTTGACTCTCATTTGCCGTATGAGTTTTCTCTCAAGCAGCAGCTTTCTCCTTCAGTCACAGTGGTGGAGAAGGATGCTGTAACGCCGCCAGCCATCGCAGGCCTGCTGGGGTTTTGGCGTGGCGTGGTAGGAGGAAGGTTGCCTGGTCATGTGCGTGTCCTCATCTGCTCCGCTCCTACAGCCGGAGCTGCCAGAGGGGAACAGGGACTTGGAGGAAGAGAGGACCTCGGGATGGCCCTGTGGAGCAAGACCCTCTGCCGTCTCCTCCCCTTTTCATAATCTTGTTTCTATTTTTTAATCATTTGCTCGTGTCAGGCTGCAGACCCGGTGCCAGAGCATTCAGCAGTCTGGAGTCAGCGTCATCCGAATGGTGCAACATGCAGGGGCAAACGTCGATAGAGATGTTTCTATCAAAGCAAACCTTAGCAAGATGAAGGGTTTGTTTGCTCTTAATGTAGGCTGGAGTTGGCGTGACTGGGGAACGTGGTGTGTCTGTGCTTGTGGCTTGGTTTGAATGGTTTAACGCAGAGTTACATATTGGAAAGCTCTTGATTGAGACCTTTTGCACCTCTTTTACAGTATCATCATGACAACAGAGAAGAGTCTAGCCGCGGACGCCGACAATTCGGAGCAGCAGCAAGCCAAGGAGGAGGAAGGAGCTGCTGAAACACAAAAGCAAGAGGCTTCCCTGGAGGAGGGGGCTCAGCAGACGTCGGAGGGACAGCCTGCGGCAGGGCAGAAGCAGAAGGCCTCCAACGGCGATACGCCCACGCACGAGGAGCAGAGCAAGAAGGAACGCCGCACCTCCGAGGGCCGGGGTCTCTCCCGCCTCTTCTCATCCTTTCTCAGGAGGCCCAAGTCTCAGGTGTCCGAAGCGGACAAAGACACTGATGCTTCTAAAGAGGCGGGAGGGGACCGGAAAGACCCGGGATTAGAAGCCAGCCCTGATGAAGACATCCTGGTGAAAGCCCCCATTGCTGCTCCGGAGCCTGAGCTCAAAACCGACCCATCGCTAGATCTCCATTCTTTAAGCAGTGCGGAAACACAGGTAAATCGCCCTGCTTTGTGTGGCGGGCTCCTATCTTTTGTTGAAAATGTGTCTTTTTAGCCAAAAACTATGAAAACTCTGTATCTTAGGATGGTAGGCTTGATCAGAAAAACTCGTGAGGTGCTAAAAAGGCTCTTGTCAACTCCCTGTGTTGCATTGCGACTTCCCCCTCTTGCCTTCCTGTACCAGACTGCCCCGCAGAGTAACTGCTCCTGAAACGTGCTGACACTTCTCAGCGTAACTTAAAACGCCCCGCGGTGACTCTTTACTCTGCCGAGGCTTGGGAAGTCGCATCAGAACTAAGGTTCAAATTCGTAGTTCCCGACAGAGTGGTTGCTTGTCGGGCTGTCCTTGGTGTGTGCAGAAGAAAGGCAGGTCAGGGGCGTGAGGTGGAGATCGCCAGAGGACGTGGATTTGGGAGAGGGTTTCTTCAACCTCAAGGAGCGCGAGCGTGGCATTTCTGGACCTGCTCACGTGTCCAGTCTGGGCTGGTGCTGAGCTTGCCAAATACAAATATTTTCTGCTTATGCATCATGTAGACAGGGATTTCTGCACAGCACGTGGGCTGAGCCCAGCCCTTGGTTGCCGTCTGATGTCTGCTCTTTACAGCCAGCGTCCTTTTTCATGGAAAATTTAAAGTTTTTAAAGCACGGTAGGAACCGAGGCAGAGAAACGCACAGGGAGACATTCACAAAGCTGCAACTGGTTATTGATTTGGGGGTGTTGGATGCCCTCTCTTACTCCTTGGGTGATTGCAGCTCTGCTGTCACTGGTGCGGCTGCCCGGAGTTAGAGAAAGGCAGGTCCCCTCCTCCTCCTGAGACGGGGGTTTCTTACATCCCCACCAGCCCGCGGGTAGTGCTGCAGTCAGAGCACATTCGTGGTAAAATCCGGATTACTTCCCCCACCGCCTTTAAGTTTTGAGCGGGCTCCAGAGAGCTCTTACATATCTGCAAACTCTGACTTTTGGAGCAGTACTCGACAAGTTAGAGCATTGCCAGCTGTGGGAAGTACTTGTAAATTTACCTCCTTAAAATCACAAAGGTGTAGAGAAGGTAGTACGTAGCATCTTTTTCTGTCTCTTCCCAAATTTCTGAGCCTGTGAAAACCATGGGATGATCTCTGTTTGTGTTTTGAACCTGTGAATGAGGAGGACCTGGAAATTTTTGTGCCATTTCAAGAAATTATGTCTTCCCGAGGAAATGCATGATTTCTTTCTCAGCCTAACTTTGATTTGCTGCTCCTGAAAGTGCGTGAATGTGCACCCGCAGCCTTCCTTCGCCACGGGCTGTTCATTTCAGACGAAGCATTTGTGCTTTTTTTTTTTTTTTGAGTTCTTATTTTAGGTCAACGTCAGTGCCTTTTTGAACTGTGACACTCGGCAGATATTTCTGCCGTGAAAGCATTTGCGAGGTGCCGCCTGTTTGATAAATGCTGACCGACGGGCATTACGAGCTTTGACTGATTCCCCGCTCCCGATTGTCCCCGGCCCTGCTGGAACAGAAGTCAGCAGCTTGTGGACATTATTTAGTTTTTAAATACCTCCGTGCGGTTGCGCCTGGGTGTGATTTCATGAGATGCGATGGGCTGAAAAGACAGGGTTTCGCTCTTCCTCTGCCGCGGCTGCGTGCTCCTGCTGCACCCAGCCACTTCCAGCGCTTCTCGGAGCCGCCTGTGAACTCGTTTAACTTGCTGAAATGGCAACGAAAAAAAAAAAAAGCAACACCGAAACAGCTTCCTTCCTCCTCCCGTCCCCAAATTGCATCTCTTCCTGCTGTTTTAGTGAATTAAATTGTCCGGCAAAGTGCTTCGGTAGGCAAAGGGAGAGCAGGGTGAAAGCTGCCTTCCCTTTTTGGGTGGCAGCGAGCTGCTCGGTCAGCTCAGACGGCCGTGAAACCTCAGCCCCCACCCCCCCGGTTTAACGCCACCGCTGCCGTGCCGAGGGCCGGCGCGCGGGAGCGCAGCCCATCGATGCCCGGGGCGGCAGTGGGAGCGTGCGGGCCGGTGCGGTGGGTGGCCTGGGAGGGGAAAAGCAGAATCACAGAATCTTCCTCCATTGGAAAAGACCTGTAAGATCATCTAGTCCAATCCTTAACCTAACACTGCCGACCCACCGCTAAACCGCGTCCCTCAGCGCTATATCTACATGACCCTTAAATCCCTCCAGGGATGGGGACTCCACCACTGCCCTGGGTAACGCATTCCAATGCCGGATGACCCTTCCAGTAAAGAAATTCTTCCAAATATCCAATCTAAACTTCCCTTGGCGCAACTGGGAGCCATTTCCTCTTGTTCTATCACTGTTAGGTGACAGACCAGGTCGACTCCCACCTCTCTGCACCCTCCTTTCAGGGCGCTGTAGGGAGTGAGAAGGTCTCCCCTCAGCCTCCTCTTCTCCAGGCTGAACACCCCCAGGTCCCTCAGCCGCTCCTCAGAAGACATGTGCTCCAGACCCCTCACCAGTCTTACTAGTCCAGAAGGTTCTGTCATTAAGACCATGAAGGTTCGCATGATGTAATCTGCTCTGATTTTTCTAATCAACCCTTTTTCCTTTTTCATTACATCCCTTATTAAATGGAGACTTGAGAATGGAGAAGAGAAGGCTCTGGAGAAGGCTCTGGGGAGCCCTTAGAGCCCCTTCCAGTGCCTAAAGGGGCTCCAGGAGAGCTGGGGAGGGACTTGTGACATGGGCATGGAGTGATGGGACGAGGGGGAATGGCTTCAAACTGGAAGAGGGGAGATTGAGGTGAGATATCAGGAAGAAATGTTTCCCTGTGAGGGTGGTGAGCCCCTGGGGCAGGTTGCCCCGAGAAGCTGTGGCTGCCCCATCCCTGGAGGTGTTCAAGGCCAGGTTGGACGGGGCTTGGAGCAACCTGGGCTGGGGGGAGGTGTCCCTGCCCAGGGCAGGGGGTGGCACTGGGTGACCTTCAAGCTCCCTTCCAACCCAAACCATTCTGTGATTCCATGAATAGCTTGAAGGGCTTTAAAAATTAACATCATTACCTCGCTCACCCAACATGCTGTTCCACGTCCCGGGTTGCACGTTTAAGTCAGATACCTAATTTTGGGGTGAGATCCCAGCCCGAAAGTGTACCTGTGCAATGCTGCTTTTGTTTGATGGTTTGTTTTGTTTTTTTTTTCCTTGAAATGTCTAAATTGCAACCTGGGGGCTGTGGGGGTTCTTTCAGCCTGCGCAGGAGGAGAGGAGGGACGACCAGGAGCCGGAGAGCAGAGAGCTCGGGGACAAGGAAGGAGGGGGAGCGAAGGAAGAGTGCGCCAAGCCAGAGCCGAAACAAGAGGCTCCGGAGACCAAAGCCGACAAGGATTTGAAAGCTGCCCAGAAAGCAGTAAAAAGGCACAGAAACATGTACTGCAAAGTCGTCTTGCTGGATGACACCATTTTTGAGTGCGCCGTGGATGTAAGTACTTTTGGGGTTTGTTTCTGCCCCTCTTTTCCCTCTCTCTTCTCCTCCCCTTGAAAAAATCACCACAAACACTATATAACGGGCGCCTCATCTGCTGCCAGTGAATGACATGACAGGCTTTACTGCAGAGCAATCTTCCCGTAAGCTATAACAACTTATTTAGTGTGTTGTAAAAATCTCTGGGTGCCTAGGAATGGTGTGTTGGTTTTTTTTTTTCTTAATTGTTCTACACTTTCCAGGGTGCATTGCTTTGTCAAGGTGCGAGGAAGTTTTTTTTTTTTTAAAAACCAAAAAGTTACCTTACTTGCTGTTTGTCTTCTCTCTCATTGGTATCCCAGGCTAGTGTTTAGGTTTCTGTGTTAGGTTGGGATTGTCTAAATATCTGCTGCCCCTTTCCTTTGAATAAAATGGGTTGTCGGGTTGATTTGTGCTTTTTTTGTTCACCCGAGATATGTTTGCCTGTCAGGTTGCGGGCTAACCTAACTCCTGCAGCGTGGATGTAAAGAAAGACATGCTGCGTTTAGCCTGCGGTTGAATATATTTGCAGTAAACAATTTAAAATTATTACGTTGACTTACAGCACTGCAAACCTCTTCATCTGAGAGCTTTTCTTCCGCTTTATTTTGTGCGTTCTCTCACAGGACAGTCTTGCTGTCAGGGCAATAAAAAGCTCGCAGAAATCCCCATTTCACTATTGAAGGACTTGTCCAGAATATTAATAATCCGGTACTTACCATTCGAGCGTACTTCCATCAAGCTTGTTTTTCCCCAGTCCCGCTGCCTAAATGGGCCAGGAGAGGGTATCTGGGCACAGGGCTCCTTGGGAACGCAGTTACCTTGGGTGATCCTGGGCAAGTAGGTCAGCGCCGGCCGTTTGTGTAACGACGTCGCTGCTCTTACTGCCTGCCGTCAGCTCGGAGCATCGCCGCCCCGCTCGCCTTCCTTCCCCTTCGCCGGGGATTTTGTCTGCAGCCCCCGAAAGGAAACCCTTCCCCGAAATGCCGGTGGCAGTTTGCCGTGGCTTCGTGCCCGAGTTCGCTGCGGCGATGCCATCGAATGCCGGGCAGGCTGCAGGGACACTGGTGGTGGGGAGAGCCGGTGGTGGTGGTGGGGTCGGTCCTGACCTGAGCAGGACGTTAGAAGTCTCTTTCTGTAGGTCCAGAGGGTCACGGTGGGCACTGCGGAGAGGATGAGGAGGTGACACCCTCCTGACTTGACAAGTACCCTTGGCTTTAACGCCAGTGGAATCCCGCTCCAGCAATTAAGACTTAATTGAGAAGGAATTGCAAAGGTGTAGGCAAAGACCAGCACAAATGCCTTTATCCGAGAAGAATAAGTGCTTTCAGACATCCTTTCCAATTAACAGCCACGGAAGGTTTTTAATTCTTATGCGTCTTTAAGTGCCAATTCCTTGAGAAATATCCAGGCTGACGCACGCGCTGTGTTACCTATAGAGTCACAACCTTACAGCTGACGGACCGGAATAAAACAAGACTCCGGTCTCGGATCAGTTGCCATGCAAATATGGCTAAAAGCAGAGATGCGGGCACAAGCCATGCATTAGTAAAGCTTATTTTGCGTCACTGGAGCTGCGCTTTCTTTTTAGCAAAGCCTCCAATAGAATTAGCTGCTTCTGGTTACCGTAGCTTTGTGCCTCAGGGATGTTTTCCTTCGTGCTTTTGGACTAAAAGGGTGTCTGTTCCTCGGGCCAGTTCGCTTCTGCAGGATTTAGAGGGGGCAAAAAAAAAAAAAAAAAGAAAGAGGAGATCGGAACGCTCAAAGTGTGTTTCTGGAGGCAAGAAGTTGTGTGCTAAGCAGCTTTCGGTGCGTAAGACAAAACTGGAGAAAGTCGGGTTTCAGCGGCACATCGGGTTGATGAAAAGGCCACGGAAATGCCGTGCCGCTGCTTCTTTTGTGACCCTATTGAGCCAGGTTGCCCCCAAAATGGGGGACTACACCAGTGGGTTGTAGTAGCAGTTCCATACCCCATGTTGATCTTCCTTTGACCAACATCTGATTGTCCGACAGCCTGGACCTGGGAGATACTGGTGCAGTAGATAGACTTTGGGAGGGAAAAAATATACAAATCCTCAGTGTTCGTTGAGTTGCGTTGAGCAGCTGAGCTTTGGGGGGCTTCAGACGTGGAGCTGGTGGTAGCAGAGACCCGCTGCAGTTCCTTTTTCCTCTCTGCCTTGAATTTTTGTGCCTGATGGTCTCTCCAATAAGGGCTGCTTGCTCAGAAGCAGCCAGGAGATCAGATTTTGAGCTACTTAGGACTTTTTTCCCTTCTTGGCAGTGTAGAGCGTGGTTTGATTACGTTCCCTTTTCCCTTCTCCCGTGAACAAGGGCAGGCGAAAACCAGCCTGTCCTACAGAATTTCTTTTGTCTATGTGCAGAAACACGCCAAGGGACAGGATCTACTTAAAAAAGTCTGTGACCACCTCAATCTCCTGGAAGAAGACTACTTCGGCTTGGCCATATGGGACACCCCGACCTCCAGGGTAAGCAGCTGCTGTTGCGTGATGGGTTCAGTTCTTTCAAAGGATCATCTCCCCTGCTGAGGAGGTGGTGCATAAGCTCTTCTTAAAACTCTTTTTGGTGTTTTCTCCCCCAAAAAAGACTAAGAGGGTCATCAGAGAAGCAGAAATTGTCAACAGAGGACTACAGGAGCGTGGATTTTAGTAAAAAAGCGATGTGAACTTGGATCTTCACCTGGAGGAAGTTGATTATATTAGTTTACTGCAAAATGATGCTTTTCATTCATAAAGCTGTAGCTGAAGAAGGCAGGCTGCCCTCGCAGTGGTGTCAGCGTTGGTACAGTTTGCTCAGAGCCATCCAGAGCAGTGTTGAGTCGAGGCTTTGCCCTGCAAAAGAACACGCGTGACTCTTCCTACCGAAACTCTTACTCATGTGGTTTCAGTTTAAGGTCTTTGTTTGGTTAGACTCAAGCAGTGTCTTCTCTTTTAAGCCCTTGGTTATGCTTTAACTCAAGCAATTACTCAAGCTCCATTCCCTGACGGTACCCAAATAGCTAAATTGAAATCAAGGACCCACTTTTCCATGCTTTAGACCAGTTCTGCTGCTCCGCGTTCTGACTACTCCCATGCTTCGCCTATAGCAGTCGCTTATGGGCCGGCTTACTATGGCTGTCAGACATATTTGTTATTAAATATTAATAAGTGCAAGTGTGAATTTTTAATACACGGGCAAAAAAAAGCCCAGAACGTTGCTATTTGAGGCAGGCAGAGCTCTGTCTTGGGTTTGTTTTAGTCTCTGGTGTCTCTATTTTCTTGCATGTGAAATTTGCTTCCATGTATATATATCTCTCTATATATATATCCTGGATTTTTTACGCTGGGAGTTTGTTGTGCTGGCAGAGGGAGGGATAGGTGTACTTTTAGATCCAACTAAAAGCAAAAAGAGTTTGGCTGGGGCAGCTCAACCTCTCACTCTCGTGCTGTGGGTAGCTCGCTGCGGCATCTCCCGCACCCCCGGGACTTGCGCTTCTCGTGTCCCGGCGTGCTGGCATCAATTCTTCCGAAACCAAAAGTGTGCACTTCCTCCCCCCGCCCCTCCCCAGCCGACAAGGGCTCAGAGTTTGTGCAGCTTTTTAACCGCAGGGACTGAAAACAGATAGTTTTGTTCGGTTTGTGTCCCAGAACCGGGAGCTGCGGAAGGTAAAGCCGCTGTGCGTGGGTTTAGCTCCAGTGCAGAGTGATGAGGTCCTTGGTGGAAGTCTGGTTTGCTCTGGTGGGGGAAAACACCATTTTTGGGGGTTTTTGGGGGGGAATCTTTCCGGTTATGTTTCATTGAACTTTGAAATCTGAAGCTCTGTCTCTCTCCTGCTGTGATGTCAAAGACCCGACACGGAGTTACTGATTCACAGGTAAAAATGATCTCAATGGGAAACCAAGGGGTGAGCTCCTGCGCCTCACCCGCGGCTGTGCGGAGCAGGCGGAGATGCACGTGTGTATTCCCGGGCAAGGAAGGGTTGTACGTGGCAGTTTCCACCTTGATATTTAGGGAATAAACATTCCTGGGGACGGGTATTTTCCCACGCGGGAATAGGAGAGGGTGACAGCGGATAGAGCACTGGTGGTCGGCACCGGAGGAGCTTCATGCTCACGCTGCTCTGAAAGGGAGGATTGTTTCCTACTAATTCATGACACAGCGTTGGATAAAAGTGCCGTTAATTGCTGTACCCGTCATTGTCTGCCGGATCAGGCAGGGTGAGTGCCGGGGATGCGTGACTGCTCCCCGCGCTCGGCTGCCCGAAACCCCCGCGGTGACGAGCAGTCGTGGTACCAGTGTGGATGTAGAGATGCTCTGCTTGAAACAGTGACCCTAAAAAGACAGCAAGAGGCACGTCTGCCTTTCAAATGGATTTTGTATCCCTGGTTTTATCGGTTAGAGGGGCAAGCATATAAAAAGATAAGATTAAATGTAAGTATCGCTGTCTCCCTGCCATGAAGTTACGTCTCCTTCTGGTCAAGACAGATTAGCTCGGGGGATTCAATGGGTTAATTCCTTCACCTCGGGAGACCTGAGCGTCCAAATCCTGCTCAGGGCTGGTGAAAATGAAGAAGGTGGTTTAATGTAGGCTCTCCAGGAGGGCTGTGAGCACCACGCCATCCCCTCTGGCGGGGCAGACCCTGACCTCTGCAAAGGGAAAGGCTCAGGCTTGATGTGCCAGGAGCTGCTCACACCGTGCTGGCGAAAGCAGGAGTTGATTTTTGAGGCTTGTGTTGCACCACCATCCCACAAACCCCCAAATTACAAAGAAGGGGGGGGAAAAAAAGGGTATGTTTCTAAATTTGTAGCTGAGATAATTACTAGCAACTTGAGTCATACTTAAAAGAGACGAAGTTTATGTCACGCTCCTGTAAAATATTCCAGCCTTCCCCAGCGATTGGATGTTTTCACTCGTATTTCAGTGATTAGGTCGTTAAAAACCATAGCTAATAATAGGAAGACTTGGCAATCTTTGTTCTGAATAGGGTAAGTATGGACTCAGGGTGCCTAAAATGAATGCAGACATCCCATTTGCCTGTTTTAAAAGGTGCTGGAGGAAGAAAACGTGTTGCACAATCGCCCCTCGTAGCTGGATGTGGCTGTGACCGTACCCACTGCTATTTGTTTACAGCCCTAATATGCTGCTTTTTTTTTCCCCCCTCCTGTGCCTCCCCTGTGAGTTCCTGGTGGGTGAAGAGTTGGAAATGCAACCACTGAGACCGCAGAGTGGAGTAAAAGTTGTGAAAAATGCACCGTCTCTCCGGTTTCCATGGCTGCGTTCATGTCAAATGTTGTCTTTTTGCCGTATTTTTAGTGATTTGCAGTTTTCTGTGGTGTTTCTGGAACGTCTGTTAAACTGTGAATGTTTTTATCCTCTTACAGACGTGGCTGGATCCTGCCAAAGAAATAAAAAAACAGGTTCACGGTGAGTAGATTGAATTTATCATGTGGGTGTGTGTGGTTTCTCCCTCCTTCTCTAAATACGCGTGGCTTTGGCGGGGGATGCAGAGAGCCCAAGGATGGGTGAGGGTTCGAGCGAGGGTGTCTGGCAGCGATCAGCGCGAGTTCAGGCAGTCTGTGCATCCTTTCTCTTCTTCTTAAGCACTTAGCGATGCTCTAGATTTAGGAAAAAGATGACATTTCTTTGGGAAGACGTCACTTGGGGTGCGTTTGCCCTATGCAAATCCACGCTGTCCTTGACGCTGAAATGGGAGATCTGCTCCCGCTTGGAGGATGGGGAAAATAGGCGTCAGCGGGAACCACTTTGATCTCAAAGGAGATGGAGAGAGCTCGAGCAATCTTGCATGCTGTAGCAAGGTTTTATAGACTCTGAGGCTGCTTTGGGGTCCAAGTGTGGGTAACCCACTGCTTTGGGGTCCAAGTGTGGGAGTGATAAATGGCTCAAGTAGTATCGGGGCAAATGTCAGATGCTCTCCAAAGTGGGATTTTAAGGTCTGCTAGCACTGAATTAGTTCCAGATGAGGGCAGTGTCGAAGTGAAATAAATTTTAGAGGCTTTTGTTTTCTCTCAGGAGCAAGTCTGCCTGCTTCAAAAGTAAAATACTGTTTTACGAAAGTAAAATACTGTTTTAGGTATGCTTTTGGGGGGGGGCACGCAGCAAAGCGTGTCACTAAGTACAGATTAGAGGGGGAAATACCGCAGGGCTGTGGAGCAGGAAAAGCTCCCGCTCTTATCACCTTCGCTTTGAATGGATAGCAGGATGTTTGCGAAGGGCATGAGCTGCTCCTGCCGTGCCGTGCGGTGCAGGTAAAACTCAGCTCCTGAGCACAATGAGCAAACTGCTATGGAATCTGGTCCCCTGAGGTGGGTTAAATGGCAGATTATTTGAGTTTACTTGAATATATGTTGAATGTACACGTGAATATGTGTACGCAGGTATATGTCGGGGGTACGTACGCAGGGAGTCAATCTCTGCGTCCTCCTCGCAATACGTAGGAAACCTCTGCTGCCTAAAATGTCTCCGTGGAATAACTTGTTTTGAACTGTGCGTAATGGCAACAACACGCTGTGCCTTTAATCCCGGTTATGGTGTTGCGTAAGAAGTAAATCCCTGAATGCTACGTCGGCCCCCCCTCCTCCCTGTCTGAGATTGTGATAAAGCTCTCAGCAACTTAACCGCAGGGGTATCTTCTCTTTCTGAAATGAATATTAGTTTGAACTGCGGTGTGAAAGGGCACAGCCGGCGGGAGCTGTCACTATGAAAATGACTTTGAGTGCTTTATGGGTCGGTCAGGATTGTTTTCTTTGGGTAAACGTGATTATTTTCAAAGAAGACGAGTAACCCCTTCATCTCTGTCACCTAGAGGCTGTCCATACACAAATAATATCAATTCTAGGCGTGATTATGTGAGTCCTCACTCCAGTTACTGCCGTAACAGTGCTGTACCAGGTTTGCAGCCAGCTCTACTAAAGCATTTAGGTCTGCACTTGTAAAGCTCTTGCTGTCTCGGTGCTTGCTGGTTTCTTCCAGAGACTGCTGCTTGGGTTGTGTGGAGTTTAAACTGTGGTCTGACCGCAGTGCATTAGGCTGCCGAGTGATTTAGCACATCTGCTCCTCGCGAGAAATTCGAAAATTGGGTCAGGTGATAGAACAATGCTCGTTCATTAACCTGGAGCGCACGCCTGACCTCTCTTCATCGATCTTTTTCTTTTTCAGTCAGTGAAAAAAATATGTAATTTAGCCTCTTAGCAATGAATTTAATTTTTTACCGCAAGTTGTGCTTTATTCACGTCTGTTTGCCTGCCCTGCTTTTCTCCTGCTTGTATCTCAGCTCCTGGAAATGGAATTGTATCTTACACCGTCTGCTAAGCAGCAGCGGGCGGGCGAGCGGTGTTAAAATCAGTATTATGATCTGCTGGCCGTATTTGGAAGATCAAACGGGATGTTCCCAGCTTTTTCGTAAAGATTGACTAGCACGAAGCTGTTCTGGCGCGTTTATTTTTCTCAACCCCTTCTTTGTAATTGCAGGAGGCCCCTGGGATTTTACCTTCAATGTCAAATTTTATCCGCCGGATCCCGCGCAGCTGACAGAGGACATAACCAGGTGAATTAGCTCAAGGGATGCAGGGAGCTCGCTGAGCACAGGAAACCACTAGAATTGGAAGACTGAATAGATATTTTTAATATTTGGGTGTTATCCTATCCTTCAGCAAGGAGATCGGATGTCTTGGAGGGTTTTTTGTTTGTTTTTCGTGGATGTGTGGGATGCTCCCACTCTTCACTGAAGTCCACACGCGTATAGTCCTGGCTTGTGAGTGTTTGTATAGAAAAGTAAATTTTTGATTTAAAATCAAGATTTTTCTGATTGTAAGTGTCCTCTACTCCCTTTCCAGTGTGGAGGTGACCTTAAGTCCTCCTGTCCTCCGTGGGGAATATTACCCCATAAGTAAAAATACAGCTAGAAATTAGAAACCAGCATCATGCTGCGTTCATCAGTGGCATAAAAAAAGAGATTCTGTTGGATCCTCAACTTTCTGAAGTTTCTCTATGCTCTCTGTAAATGGTATTTTGCCTTTTTTCCCCCCTGCCCAGGTATTACTTGTGTCTTCAGCTTAGACAAGACATCATTACGGGGCGGCTGCCCTGTTCCTTTGCGACTTTGGCTCTGCTGGGTTCCTACACGGTCCAGTCCGAGTTGGGAGACTACGATCCCGATCTACACGGCCCAGATTATATCAGTGAATTTAAATTGGCACCGAACCAGACGAAAGAGTTGGAAGAGAAGGTTGTGGAGCTTCATAAAACATACAGGTAAGGTGTGGCGACTGGAGGACTTGTGCACAGCAGCCTGGAATAATGGAAATAATGGGGCTTTCTGGTATTTTCCCCATCTCTGTTGTTGCCTTTGGTTTCCTGCTGCACCGATTTTTATGTTGGCAGGAGAAGCTTTAACAGTAAGGTTTTCAGCTACTGACAACATTGGCTATTTAAAAATGATCTAATACTTTATAACAAAATCTTTCTAGAAGCTGGAATTCTTTTTTCCTACGTGAAGAGGAAACTGTTTTTAGCAAGCAGCTGCAAAGTCTTGCTCTTTTTCAACAGTATAGCTGTGAAAGTGGTTTTTATTTCATGTGAAAATGCAAAGTTGGCTTGTTTTAACTTTGCCCTGTGGCCTTTTTTTTTTTTTTTTTAATCTGTTTGCTTTGGGATTTATGTAATTTTTTGATTGCAGTCTGGTTGGAGCAGATCCTGTATCTTTGTGTAGCCTACAGCATGTTTGGGGTTTTCTGCTGCCACTTGTAATAAGTAACACTTTATAGTGTGGAATTTTGCCGGATAATGCAGGAGCTATAGCCCTGCACTTAGGCTGTCCTCCTCCTGTTTCTCAGCGTGGCCATGACCTGGATAGATGTGACTTGTTGAGGTAGGGTTGAAGGACTCCTGGGAGGTCCCTCTGGTACTGGATTAAAGGGTCACAGCAGCTGCACCTCTTCCTCACCTTATTCTGAGGTTATTTTTATAGATATGCTCGAGTACGTGGATGGCAGGAGCTGTGTGACAGCAGCCAGCCGGCAGCTTCTCCATCCTTCTACACTTTGGGGTTTTAAGGGGGGGAAAAAAAGCCTATAAAACCACTCTGTGATCCCAAGGCCTTCAGCCAGAGCTCCTTGACCTGTGAAAAGCTGCCGGCTGATGCACTAATAACGAGAACAGAGCGAAGAGGAGACCTTCTCGTGGGGAGACGGCAACTAATAACCTGAGTGCAGGAGGGAAGGGTGGCCGTGTGCCCCCGGCTGTGACCAAAGCTACAATTAACACCTCGCCAACCCCGCAAATCAATGCTTTAAATTGATTCCCCTCCATTTGCGCTGAGAGGAGAGGAAATGAGGGAAAATAAGTACTGGGCCGCTGACAAGCTTCATGACTTGAAGTCAAAGGCCGTTCGCTGTGCTAGAAGTGGCAGATCACGTTGCTGAATTATTCATGGCTTCATTAGAAGGATACTTCAAGGTACAGGTCGTAGTTATATTTAATCTCCTGCGTGCAGGAGGGAGGAAGCAGTACGCACCCGTGTAATTTCTGGTCCGTATTCTGTGAACATTAAACTGTCAGAGCTTTTTCAGTGGGAAAACTCTGCTAAAGCGAGCTCCGTCTCGCTCCGTCTCTAGCTACGTTATTCACAAAGCATGTGTTGGGGATGGCGACTGCTCCTGGGTCTCTCCTAGAGGATTGTCCTCACAGTCCTCTTTGTCTACCCTGTCTCCCACCACTAAAACCTCTATTTATGCCGCACACAAGACGTATGCGAGCGCTCGGTAAGGAAGACATCAAAGCAGGGAACAAAATGAGATGTGTACAGCCCAGTGCTCTCCCAGCAGAGCTGTTAGGTGGCCCTCTTCCACCAGAAACTTATTAACGAGGGCACTTCAATAACGCTGATAATAGCCTCCATTATCAGGATGTTTCTGTTAAGCGAAGATGTGGTGTGTTGCCCCTCCTGCAGACAGGGTACCATCTGTTCCCAGAAAACGTCTCATTCATCTGGTCTGCCCCAGTAGGAATCGCTGCCGAGTGGTCTCAGCTGTCCTTGCAGTCGCTTTGGAGAACAATAGCTGGGTTGGGGGGGTGTCCGGAGGCAGAAGGTCCGGGAGGACAGTACCTGTCACCCTCTGCCTTCGGCTGAATTGGTGTTTCTTCCACTGAATCAGGTTTTGTACCCCTCGCTGCGCTTCCTCCCTTATTTTCTTCTCCGGTGTCGGCACAGCTGCACAGAAATATGGTGCATCTGTTTGATGAGGATGTCTCAAAGCACAGATTTGTGTATTCAGAGCAATTCAGTAATTCGTCAGCTGGGCACGAATTTGTTTGTATTGAAAGCGAAAGAAAACCTAACAAGTAAATGGTTTTGTGAAGACTGATCCATCCCCTCCTAAAAGCAGTAGTTACTGGAACACCAAACCCTGTCTCTCTTTCCCCAGATCCATGACTCCAGCCCAAGCAGACCTGGAATTCCTTGAGAATGCAAAAAAGCTGTCTATGTATGGAGTCGACCTTCACCAAGCCAAGGTGAGAGTCAGCGTGTGTGCACCTGCCTGTGGATTTTGTAATTTGATTATCTTTCCCTCGTAGGAGCAGTACTTACCCATTTCGGGAGGCTCCTTTGGAAAGGTAAAGGAAGTCAGCTGGCGACTGGTGCAGAACGAGACACAGAACAGAAATGCCTCCAGCACTCTTGAAAGAGGAGTGATTTGTCCTGATTGTTTATTATTTATGTAGTAGAGGCAGCTTTGCAAAGCTACCGATGTAGGCAGGTCCTTGCTCTGAGGCGCTTAGAATATATGGCTCTGACCCCGCGAGGTGAGCCGCTGCGCTTGGGGGAGTGCAGGACGGGCTGTAGATGGGCCCTTCGGGCGAAGAGCATCGCAGGGGAGAGCGGCGGAAGGGAGGAGGCTGTAGGGAGGAAGGTGAAGGAGGAGCGAGCCTGGCCCTGCTGCACAGGGAGCTGAAGTCTGGCTGGTGGGGAGATGGATTTGGGGGGAGACCACAGGGGTGATTTGCAAGGCAGACGTTGACCTGAAACTCGTAACCCTGACGCTGCTTAAATCCTCATCTGCTTTCCCAGGACTTGGAAGGAGTGGATATCACTCTGGGAGTCTGTTCCAGTGGCCTTCTTGTTTACAAAGATAAACTGAGAATCAACCGCTTCCCTTGGCCCAAGGTCCTGAAGATTTCCTACAAACGCAGCAGCTTCTTTATTAAGATTCGGCCAGGGGAGGTACGTTCTGCGTGTCGTCTTTAATTGCCTTCTGATTGCCACCAGCGTGACAAAGTGGGGGGAGGGAGCAAGCTTTTTGCTGAATGAGTGTATAAACTCTATAGGGTGAGAGTATAAACTCTATAGGGTTTCGGATTTTGGCTCGGTGCTAAGTTGGGGCAGAGCCCGCTGACCTTGCTGAAGCTGGAAACCAGCGGGTGCCAATTTAAACAACGTGTCGTCCAGCACCACCTCCTGGCACTGCCTGGTATTCCCGGCATCCAGGGCAAAGCAGGGGGAAGTTCACGGTCGAAACTGGGAGAGGACTAGTTCCTCTTTTAAAAACAGGGCAAGACAAAGGCTCTTTATCTCGCTTTCATTTTTTAAAAAAATAAAATAAAAAAATGCAGGCGCATCCCTTTTCACTTAAGACTGCAGGATGTCTGGGAGGGGGGGGCTGCCCTGACGCTGCCTCTCGTGAACGGGGAGCTCCCCGGAGCAGCCTGGTCGCTGGAAACGCGATGGGGAGAGAGGCTGCGATGGGGATCTGTCCCTTTCCGCCTCTTCTTCCTCTTCCTCTTCGACTGCCATGACGCAGCCTTGCAGGGAAGGCAATTTTCGACACCGTCCAGCAGCTGGGCAGCGTGATGGGGGGGTGGTAAATGAGTCTGAACGGCTGCAAAACACCCAGCACGCTCCTCTGGAAATCCCGGTGCCTCCTGAGGGATGCGTGGGGGTTGTGGAGCAAGCCCTGTCTTTTCTTGGCCCCGAGCTCCTCCTGCACACAGTTCAGTTGCTCTCGGGCTGGACCAGCAGGTTGTGCTGGAGCAGAACTGGTCGGTGGGCTGGGAACTGGACTCCTGCTACATTTATTTCTTGCTATACCTAAATAACTTACGTTTTCCGCAGCAAGAACAGTATGAAAGTACAATTGGGTTCAAGCTACCAAGTTACCGGGCGGCGAAGAAGCTGTGGAAAGTATGTGTTGAACATCACACGTTTTTCAGGTGGGTTTTCTAAACAGTAGGCTCGTCTTGAATAACTACTGCTTTAGATTAGCTGCTGAATATGAGCGCTCCTTCATTGTTCCTTAGGGTTTCACAGAAATCAGAGTGAAATGGTTGCAGAGACATGAAGTGTTTATATTGCAGCAAATTTCTAGGCGGCTTCCACTTCATAATATACATAAGACCGAGGGCTTCCGGCTTATGTAGGTGTGGGGCTTATTGTTAGCGCGTGTTGTTTTGCTAATCGAGTGTATGCAAGCGACTTCTTTAATTTGTATTTTAAATTCTCTTTACCTGCCGCTTCCTGGATCTGGAGGTATGGTTTTTAAATCGTGCCTGTGGTTTTCAGGCTGACTTCCACCGAGGCCATCCCGAAGAGCAGGTTCCTGGCGCTGGGCTCCAAGTTCCGCTACAGCGGCCGGACGCAGGCGCAGACGAGGCAGGCGAGTGCCTTGATCGACCGACCCGCTCCCCAGTTCGAGCGGACGGCAAGTAAGCGAGCCTCCAGGAGCCTCGACGGAGGTGAGTGTCTGGTGCCTCTTCTCCCTCTGTGGCTGGATTCAGTAGGATGCTGAAATACTCCTTAAATATCACCTAAATTCCCTGCTTTAAAAAAAAAAATCAAAACAAAAACATAACTTCTCACTTTAATACAAGACCTGGGTATAAAATGCCAACTGATAGTAGTCCCGGCAAGAACTGACTGACAAAAAGGATGTAGGTGGGTGCTGAAGGCTTGTGGCAAAGTTCTGGTTGTAAAGATATTTCCCTATTCAATCTCAACGCATTTTCCTTTTAGCAAATGGGGAATTAAGCTATCCTAAGATTTGTTTTGTTTAACATAGCTTCTTAAATTACATTGTTTTCCTTGAGGGGGAGATTTTTTGCCGCAACTGTTTGAAACCTTTTCAGTGTCTGTTAAAACGATGCTAATGTTGAAGTTTGTGGCATTTTGCTCAGGTGGGCTCATCTCTGACATTTTTGAAAGAGCTGGATAGCAGCAGGCTAGAGGAGGTGAGGCATGGAAGGGCGAGTGCCTACGTTTGCTCCCCTTGATCTGGATCCTGAGGTGCTTGTAAAATTAGGATCCAGGACAAAGGGGAGCATCCCTTTGCACTGAGAGGATGCAGGGCAAATGGGAGCATCCCTTTGCTCTGAGAGGACCTGGGATAAAGGGGAGCATCCCTTTGCACCAAGAGGATGCAGGGCAAAGCAGAGCATCCCTTTGCACTGAGAGGGTCCAGGGCAACACAGGGCATCCCTTTGCACCGAGAAGGACCTGGGATAAAGGGGAGCATCCCTTTGCACCAAGAGGATGCAGGGCAAAGCAGAGCATCCCTTTGCACTGAGAGGATGCAGGGCAAAGCGGAGCATCCCTTTGCACTGAGAGGGTCCAGGGCAACACAGGGCATCCCTTTGCACCGAGAGGGTCCAGGGCAAAGCGGAGCATCCCTTTGCACTGAGAGGATGCAGGGCAAAGCGGAGCATCCCTTTGCACTGAGAGGGTCCAGGGCAACACAGGGCATCCCTTTGCACCGAGAGGGTCCAGGGCAAAGCGGAGCATCCCTTTGC